TCCTTCGGGTTGCGACCAATTCGGGGTGCGACCAGAGTCACGGAACGAATTAAATTCGTAAGCCGAGGTTCCACTGTATATTATCTGGCCTGGGGTGGGGAGGGAGGTCATCAGATGTGGGGTTGGCCAGCCCCCTAGAGGCCCAGTGTTGCTACCATTAGCCTCCTGGATTTCTTTTCCTTTTATTTTTGTAAACGTATCTTGTTATAAATTTTAATTGTACATTTATTTATTGTTTTTGATATGTTGTGAGCCGCCCAGAGTCCCCCATTGGGGGGAGATGGGTGGGGACAAGTTTAATAAATAAATCAATATTATGCGTATCTTTTTTATTAGTTTTTTTCTTTGCTCTCCTGTCATATTTATAGCTAAATTTTAATCACTATAATGTATATAAGATATTTTTCAATTGTATACCTACCACTGTTGTTCTTGTAGTTGTTCGTATTGCACTATAAAAAAATTTATAAAGCCTGTGGGTTGTGAAATATAGCTTCCTTTCAGGTTATTTTTCATTATATGGATCATAGAACATTCTCTGTGCAAATTGCAACCAAGTATGAAAAACAGTACAGGACAATATTGAAAAAGGCAAATTGAAGGTGGCTTGTAATAAATTCTACCTGCAAATACATATATTGGGAGATTTATGTGTACGCACATGCAATATTGCCAGAATAATGAGAGATAATAAAGCTCTAGATTCCATTAAGAACTAGCTTTAAAAGAGTATTGAAAAATATTTTAACTTAAGGCTACTTGGAAAGATAATGAAGATTAAAAAGCAATTAAAATATTATTCAGCTGTCTTGAGGCACTGACCCAGACAAAAGTGTATATCAGAAATACATTTATATTGATGTTTAGAGCAACACGGTGCCAAAAAAAGTTATATCTAAATAGGTATGTTCCCCAACACATTCTCAACAAGGGCTACAAGAGAACAATCACAATTGACGTACCTCTGTATGTGCCAAGTTAAGCCTGATGGTCTCCTACTCTACCAAAGACTTACCCTGAAACTTGTCTTCAACTTCTACAGCAGGTTGCAAAGCCTGACCTCCAGACAGCATGTAATGTTCAAAGTTAGAGTTTTCTGGATTTTCTTTTTTAAATTATTTTTTAACTTTTATTATGCAGGAAGTAATAGGGTAACAATTTTTTAAAAATTCATACTTTTCTGTGTACAAATTCATATACCACACATTATTTTCTGTATTCAGCCGTACAGGAAAGATGTACGTTCAATTTATAAAACATTACAAATGCTAGTAGATCAGATGAGTATCTTCAGCTAGACAGAAACACTATTGTAACAGTCTAATTCTATTAAAATTAAATGCCTCCTAAGGGCATTTCCATTCACAAAGGGTGGTTTCACATGTTGCACAAAGCCATAATAGGATTTGTAAACCGCAGTTTACAGTTGAGAATGCCAAGGGTGGTTAGTTCAGATCACTGTGGTTAAACAAACCATGGCTTACTGCAATGCATGATCATGTCACAGGGGACCATATTATTTCCTAGACAATGTTCACACTTGACTACACATAAGCTGCTATAGGTGAGTTATGATATTTGAATCCTTCTTGGCCTAGTCGTCATTTTTAATATCGTAGCTGGGATCGGGCAAGTAGAAGTCAAACAGAAAACCTGGTGTGTGTTGGACCATATGTCACTTTTCCAACAGATACACAGTTTTTAGCTAGTTGGCTAAGAGAAGGTATGGGTAGACCCACCTCCTCCCAACACAAATCCCGCCAGGTGAGGAGGGAAGAGAGATGCGGCACACAGTTTAACCTTGGGCTCCACCGAGAGTTAGAGGCGCCGATTGACGCCTGAAGCAGCAGGAAGGAAACTCCCCGGCCCGCGCTGACGCACTATAATCGTTCCGGGAGGAAGCCGCGAGCGCGCTTTTACCTGATGAAAGTGGTCTTCCCGGTGCTGTACTGACCCACGAGGAGCACCATGGGCTTGTTGTCGAAGTCAGCGTCCTCCAGGGCGGGTGAGTGGAACTCATGAAAACGGTAATGCTCCTCCAACGGCAGCAGCTTCTTCGAGTAAAGCTCCTTCAAGCCGCCAGTCACCGTCTCCACCACGTCCTCGCCCTCGCCGGGCCTTTGGCGCCCGCTCTGCTTCAGCCAGCTGAACATGCCGATAGTCGCTGCTGGCGGCCGCTCCCCAGCCCCTCGCTCGCTCGTTCCCCCGCCTGGGTTGCCACCAGACTGAAAGGCCGAGCCGGCAAGCGGCGAACCCCGCCCTTCCTGGTTTGCTCTGCGGTTGCTTCGCTCAGGGGGAGGGACGTCCCGGGGCGGAGGCTGGAGGCGCCGCGGAGCCCTGCTCCGTGTCTCACTCCTCTTTCTCCTTCGAAATCTCCAACTAGAGCAAGCCTTGAAGGCGGGCGCCAGGCGGGGGAGAGTCCCTCCAAGTGGGTCCGGCGGCGATGTAGTGAACCACGAACTTTATAGCCTATCAGGTGATACGACCCAGCCCGGGAGGTTAGGTTATGGTTCGGTAGGACTTGGAACCAGGAAATTAGGTTAATTAATTAAACCGTAAATGAAACTAGGAATCCAGTCGGAAAAAGGGCACGCGCTCCGAGTGCTCTCCTCCCCGAGAACGGGATCGGCTACGTCAGCTTTCCCCGGACTGTCCGGATATACTGCCAAGGGAGGGGGAATGCCAATGAGCAGCTGATGCTTCTGCTGGACGACCTGGGGAAAGGGCGGCCAGAGGTTCTCTAGGGGTGCAGCCCCTTCTGTCACGTTCAATACAAAGCGGAGGAGAGGGGAGCCTCAAGTAGCCTCTGGGGCCCAGCTTTCTGAGAATGCTCTGGAGTCTTGGGGGTGTCAGCCTGAGAAAGGGCGGAGCAAATTAGCCTCCAGAAGGATATCAAGATTGCCATTGCCCCAAGTGGGAATTAGTTAGGGAATAAGACCAGGCATCACCTTTCAAGGTCTCTGACTATTGCGAAGTTAACAAGAATCAAGAGGGAGACGAGAGCTCAACTAATGTGGAATAAAAAGTACTTCCTGTAATCCTAAATAATCCAGGGTTCTTTATTATGATGGCTCAGTAAATGAGTTTCCTGCCAAACTCCATTGTGGGGTAAGGATAGATCATTCAGAATAGTCGACTTTGGTTAATAGCTAATCCTCAACTACCTATCAGTTATGGGAAATAAAGAGATCATGATCTTGAATTTTGCTGTGGCCTGAATAATTATTAAATTATTATGTTTCCTGTCAATTCATTGTGTATGGCTATGTTTGCATAACTCACTGAACCACACTTTACTACAATGTGTTATGTGGCCCTGGGCCTGTGGTTAGTTTATGGCTGAGTGTAGCATGTGGTTAATTTCTATACTCAGGGGTAAGTAGGTGCTGCAAACACAACCTATATTTGATCTATGTATCATGGCAGTTTAGGCCCCAAACTTTCTTTGGAGCTGGCTGGAATATTTGTTTGTTTGTTTATTTATTAAATTTGTATGCTGCCCATCTCCCCCAGAGGGTGACTCTGGGTGGCTCAATTTGGTATTTATATATTTAATATAGTATTATTAAATTATTAATATAAAGAAGACTTTAAAACAATAATAAATTATTTACGTATATTAAGGGCATTTGGAACATTATGACAGTATGTATGGTATGCATACCAAAATAGATCTGGGTTATTTATGCTTCTTTGTCTTAGATGTGAACCCATTATTTTAGAATACAGTATCTAGACACTATTCCACAAGGGAATACTTCGGTGGAATGCAATAGCAAATACTAGTGTGCTTGCTTATTCCCCCTGCATTTTTATAAAGGGAATGTGAGCTATGATGTTATGAATGTTATAGTGCTCATGATTTTACTACTGAAAAGCAACACATGTTTTAAAAATTACAGAAAATGAAACCTTTCCTATTTAAAGGCTTAGGGCTGCATCAGTAAACAGTGGTATTTTCCACCTATTCCTTTTCATTTGGAGCGTGTAACCTTTGGTAAGTGGCCTATGCAGAGAGGCCTAAAGAGGCAGAATTTATAATATTTTATCTAAAAACTCTCCCATATATCATTTTTATAAAATGGCAACATTAATGCAAACTAGCTGGTGCTATTACAATTCAATGACAGGATCATGCATTCAGCTGCCAGATTTGATTTGCTGGCTACATCCATAATATTGCAGATGGAACATGTTGCTTGATTGAGCAAATGACTCCCCAAAGAGGCTGGGTCTCACTTACCTTTTGTACTGTATAAAACTGCGAGGATAGTGTTCAACAGAAAAGGAGCAAACAGAGCCTGCCTAACAAGGTCCAAACATAAAGTAGGCAATCTCTCTCAATCCATACTCTGCAATGAATCCTGAATGCATTCTTAAATCCAGTATCTTATTTAAGTAGGTAATATGTAAGTGGTTTATTTATACTGATTCTCAGGGTATAATGGTTGCTTTTCCTGTGAGAGAAAAAAAGCATGGCTGCTGTCAGTTCGAATAGCATCTCTGCACTTCAAAAAGGCTGTGCTAAAAGAGCCTGACCAGCACAGCTGCTACTGGCCCAAATAGTTCCCCTTGCTCCAAAAAGTCAATGTTACAGTGACTGGTAAGCCCTGCCTAATTTCCCATCATCCCTAGAATAAACATCAGAACCAACCAGCTTTGCCTAGGCACAAGCTGGACAGCCTAGCAGGAATGGCCAGAAAAGTGCCCCCCTCCTCTCCCATTTTTCCTAAAGTCACACTGGAGAAAACCATCCGGCACAGCTGGCTTTACCCCCTCTTCCCACAAATGGGGCTTGAACAACATGACCATCTGGCCCTGCCAGGAATTATGTTGGCTGTCATGGAACAGATTCACCAACCCAGTCCTACTGCACTAGCATCCATGTTGATGTTTCTAGCTGACCGTTGGCTATACCCAGGCTTTGGAGGGATGCAACTGCATCTATAGCAGGTTAGTTTAGTTACACCCTGGCCTCTTCAAGGATGTGTCTAGGATAGGCCTTAGATAAAAGGAGAGAGCTACCTGAGGGGGTTTGTGTGCAGGGACCTAGGAGAAGAACAAACATAATGAACTAAAAAATGGAACAGTTTTAACAGCAATAGCTACTACTGCCTCAAGATAGCAAGGCTTTCTAGGACCTAAACAAGTGACACACTAAGCTGCTTTAAACCTTGTTAGGACCTCAACTTGACATTTAGCAGCCATCCTATTTAGAGCTGTTTGAAACTTGGTAGCAACCCAACTTTATAGTTTGAAGGTAGACTCTGTGAAATTCCAAAGTGGGTAAATAAGCCAGTCAGAAAGTAAGAATTGGGTCCTGTGTTAGCACTGGAGAACTTAAAGGGCCAGAAAGGGCTAAGTAAACCAGACCCCAAGGACCTGGCTATCTGGCCATGTGCATAACATAAATCCTATTTAGAATAAATGGCACCAACAGAGGACAGGAGGGGAAAGGGTTTTAAAGGCTATATTAAGGGATCTTGAAACCTAAATTATTTTTTTTTAAATAAATGTTATTAAAAGTTTTTAAAGAACATAAAACTAACACAAACTAATACAAAATGGAGAGAACAAAGAAAAAAAAAGACAGCGAAGGAAGAAAAAACGTAAGTGCAGTGACAAAGAATAAAAAGAAATAGAAGCTTCCAATTTCCTCTGCTGCAAACATGATTACAAATTTATCTCTTACTCTAAGATTACCAAAAAAACCAAAACCCTCATTTTTTTCTGTTATCCATTTTTTTTCCTAATCATTAAAACCACAAGTCATAAGTGCGTTTTTCCCCCCATTTCATGCAAAAAGTGTATAAGGGGTTTCCAGTCAGCCATAAATGTAGATATTGTCTTTTCTCTTATCAAGGATGTTTATTTAGCCATCTCTACAAATTCCATCATCCATCAAATTCTTCCATTGTGCATAGTGTTGAACCGTTCCAATTTTGAGCATGTAACAGTTTCGCTGCAGTTGTCATATATAAAAGCAAAGTTCCATGACTTTTTTCTAGTTGCCTGTTCATTAGTCCCAAAAGAAAAGTCTCTGGTTTCAGTTGTACTCTAACCTTTAAAATCTTCTGAATTAATTTATGTATTTATATCCAAGGGGTTTTTTGGGGGGCTTTTTTACATGTCCACCAAACATGATAAAATGTCACTTCATGTTGTTCACATTTCCAGCAAAGATTCGAAGTACCTTTATACATTCTAGACAATTTCCCTGGTGATAAATACCAACGATATCATTTTATAAAAATTCTCCTTAAGGCTAGAACATAATGTAAATCTCAATCCTTTCAACCACATTTTTCCCATTGATCCGTTTTGTATATTATAATCAAAAATTTTAGTTGATTTTATCATACGTTCTTTCACTCATTCTTCTGTCTCATATTTCAGTTTATACATTTTAGCAATAACATGTTCATCATTAATACATAATTCTATTTCAAACCCAGTCTTACTTTGTTCAAAACCATAAAATCTTTTATCCACTTTAAACCTTTCTGATAATTGTACTGTCTTACTTTGTTCAAAACCATAAAATCTTTTATCCACTTTAAACCTTTCTGATAATTGTACTGTCTTACTTTGTTCAAAACCATAAAATCTTTTATCCACTTTAAACCTTTCTGATAATTGTACTTAAGAAAACCATTGATAAGTATATCCTTCTGTTGTCAGATCTTCTCTTGATTTCATTTTACAATCCTCTTGAGAGAATTCTAGTACATCACGGTAAGTTAAGCATAAATAACATAAATCCTCTTTAGGATAAATGGCACCAACATGGGACAGGAAGGGAAAGGGGGTTAAAGGCTGTGATATGCTCCCCTTTAACACTTTCCTTCTTGCAAGGGCGGAAAAACTCCAAGAGACAAACCCTCTAAACACAAGGTGATGGTTTAGTTCGTTTATTGCAATAGACGGGGAGAAAATCCACACAATCAGATTGAATCTCCGAGGAACCAGGCTCTTCACCTTACTTTTTGTTTCTAACTAGCCCGTCCACCATTCTCTCCTCGTTCCCCCATTGGCTGAGGTACTTCAAGGTCACATTCTTCCGGACCCTTTTTGAAGTCTCTTGGTTCCTCCTATTACATGCATAACCATACATTGCATGTTCATTATAATTAGCTTATTAATTATGCGGGATGTGTTAGCTACTATTCATTAGTTCATTACCCATGCGCATTTCTGACTTTGAGCTCATGATTTCAGCTAACTAGAGTTACACTGATAAGAACTGCTCTAAGCTGGTTCCTATCTACAGTTAGTTTGGATACATTATTCCGCTCAGTTTAGATACATTATTCAGCTCACTTTGGATACATCACCCTACTCACTTCTCTCAAGGCTGTATTGGGGAATCTTGAAACCTAAGTTCTGAAAAAGCCTCTGCTCAGCCTATTTGAATACTTCTAGTAACCTCAGAACAACTCAGGGAGTGTCAATGGGTTCAGCCTGAATGGTAGCAGCCTATCATAATTATCTTTCACTGTGGAACTTTTGGAAAGAGGGGGGCTGCTTGTAAGATTTACAAAACCACCCCTCCCATGTCATAAAAGGAAGTGAGATAAATCACTGCATGATCACCAGAAGCAAAGCACTTTTCAGTTCCTTCTCTGATCAGAACAAGGAAGTTCCAGTGAAGAGAAGGGGAAGCTTCTATGTTCCAGCTGCCATTAGCAGCAGAAACACAACAAAATTGCTTTTAGTTTCATAAAGTCTCTGTGTTTCCCTTTTACACTGGATATAATTCAGTCCAATTCATTTCCATTATTTTGATAGTTGCTGAAATTGACAAGGAGCTAAGCAATAGAGAACAAGAAGACAGCACTATTGGAAGTAGAACAGAAAAAAGATGCAAAGAAAAATTTTTGCAAGGTAGATGGTTCCAACAATTGATGATCATACAAGCCAGTGGAAGTTAGAGATAATACAGGCCAGTGGAAGTGAAAATCTGTCTTTAAACTTCTTTGTCAACAGAGATTAGAAGTAGACACCTCTTGCAGAATTTTGTTTTTCTTGGTTTTGATATGTTCTTTCTGAAAACTATTACAGTGTGCCTACCTGCAAGATTATGGTTACATTAATGAATTCTGAAGTGAGGGAATGTGCTAGTACCTCTTGGTAGAACATTCTGAAAATGCTAAAATTCTGGCTATGGAATCTGGATAAATCTCAATGCTGGATTGTTCTATACAGGAAACTTTTCACTTGTTTTTCTATATTTTTTTAAATTAATACAGGAAAGGGTGATTCCTATGTGGATAATAGTCTTATATTTGGTTTATCTCTCTTTAGTGAGGAAACGTATATATTCAAGGCCTAGGGATTTTTTCCCCAATTCACATACTCAAAGATAGGCCTAGTACATGCAATATACCATGGTTTGTCAGTTTTGGCTTATTGGGGTATATGTGAACATAGTTTTTGTGATTTGTAAAGCAAGGTTTATGAATTATTTAGTCAACTGACCATGATTAAACAAGTCCTGGTTTAATGCAATATATGAACATCATTGTTGGTATGCAAAGATCTTTCCCTCTGTATGATTGGCTGATGTTTGATGGTTTTGATCACCTGCATGCTGGTAGGGAAGGACAGAACCCAAATTCTAACAATTCTCATATACCTAGAAAATAATTCCTACCAATAGGACCAAATGGTTACAAGTAGCATGTTTGCAGTTTTCTCCTGCATATGCATGCTTTTTTAAACTGACATCATTGTTCATTTATCAGGAACTGGTTTTAGATTCTAAAAAAATTGTTTCTCACCATTCATATTGCATCAGACCAGAACAACTTTTATGACAATCATTCTCATATGTACTTGGTATGGAAACAAAGAAAAAGTACACATAGCATTAGAAGTAGAGATGTTTCAGAGAAAAAAAACACCTTTTTGCATAAAACATAAATAACATTACAAGGCACAAACAACTTTTTTCACAGCACATTTTTTATATAATTTGTTCAGAGGAGCTTCAGAAAGTGTGAGCGTAGAAAGTTCTATAACATATTTTACTCAGTCACTGTGCCTCCATTGCCAAAAGACAAATAGAATTCATTAAAAGAGCATTTCAGGCTTTATAACTGATTCATTTTCATAAAGGCAGCTTTTTTTCCTCCATGGCCAGAGTCTTAGATATTCTTTTGATTATTTTATCTTACTTTTCTTCTGGAATGAAATGCTTTTATTGTTTTGCTAGTGCAGGAAAAGCTGAGGTGCTCTGTCCCACAAAAGATTCAGATGTTAGTAAACTAAGGTCCTTCTTACGCTGCTTTTTCCGTTCCACAGCTAACTGTAAAGCATCAATCAGAGTATTTTTGTTATTTTGGATGTTGTACTGGCTCAGTTTTACCAGTTTCTCAAAATTCTCCTCTGAATATTGCAAAGCATTGATGTTATAAGGACCAAAGGTACTGGTCAAATCAATCTCACCATCATTCATCTCTTCAGGGCTACGCTTCACACCTATGATTTTTAAAAATAAAAGGAAAAAAGAACAGATTAGTCATATGCAGCAAAAACATGGTGATTAGCTGATATATTTTAGCATATGTTTCCCTGATTTAAACTGCATCGCATGCATGAATTGCTACACTCTGATTGCAGGTATATATGGATATAGCAAACTAATCTAGCAGGAAAAAAGATTTTCTTAGCTGGGGAAAAAGAAGGACTTATGGACTAATTCTAATAAAGAAAAACAATATTTAGCTTTTTCATTTGAGAGACTACTGAAACTTATATCAAATAATGCTCAAGGCTAATCTGTGAGAATATTATCACAGAGATGGATTTAAAACTGCTTCCTCTAGATTCCATCCATGGAGGGGGAGAATTACATTGCAGGTGAACAAGAGACTCAGGACACCTCAAACTGGTCCTTGAGAACTGGGAAAACAACACAGATAATTTACTTGTTTTCTTGGTCTGGCTTCTCCCAGCCACAAATATTATTATCTTCTTCCTTCCTTGGAATTCTCTACTTCCTATTCTCTAGCCAGGCCTACTGGTTACTGTAACTGTTTTGAGCATACAGGTAGTCCTCACTTAATGACCACAACTGGCACCAAAATTTAGATCACTAAGTGATGCGGTTGTTAAGCGAATTATCATGTGGCCAATTTGCTTTGCAATCCCGGCATTCCTGGCTGGCATTGGTAAGCAAGAATTGTGGGTTGTTAAGCCGAGTCCCAGGTAAGGAGCGTGGGGGCGCCTCAGGGGGATGGGGGAGGCCTGGCACAGGCCATGTGTGAGTTGGGGGGTTGCCACAGTGCAGCACAAAGCTGCAGCTGCCCCTGGAAGCTTCAGATGCCCCAGCCAAACCCAGCAGCACTTACAACTACAACTCCCCCCACCTGCCTATTTCCCCCCATCTATGTCCTTTTGGCTGCCCTGCACAGAGGCACTCACTGGCGGCAGTGCTGGGGCTGGGGCTGGGGCTGAAGTAGAGGCCCGAGGCCTTCCGCAGTTTCAGCCAGCTGCCACCACCCCCAGGCCTTGACTTCAGCCCCAGGGCCGCCGCTGCCACTGAGAAATGCCGCCTCAAACCCCACACCACTGGCCTTTGCCGCCTTGCGCCTTTCCCCAAGCTGTACTTCTTATTCCTTCCCTAAAGCCATCATCCCGTTCCTTCCCAAGTTGCGTGTCCCATGCCTTCTGCAAGCCCGTGTCCCATTGGAAACCTGGTCTTCCCCAGATCTTGTGAGAATGGGACGCCGGCTTTAGGGCAGCAACGAGAGGCGCAGCTTGGGGAAGGAATGGGATGCTGGCTTGCAGAAGGTATGAGACGCACGGCTTCGGGAAGGAACAGACAACGGCTTTAGGGAAGGAACAAGAGGTGCGGCTTGGGAAATGGTGCAAGATGGTGGAGGCCAGCAGTGTGGGGCTTGAGGTGGCATTTCTCAGTGGCAGTGGTGGTGCTGGGGTTGAAATTGAGGCCTGGGGGCGGTGGCAGCTGGCTGAGACTGCTGAAGGCCTTGGGCCTCTACCTTCAGCCCCAGCCCCTTTAATATTGTCCAAGTTCTTTTTCTCTTTTGTTTTCCATGAGTCTTTTTGGACCTCACATTTGGTTAAAGCACAAAACCAGTCATAATTAAAGGAAAAAAGCAAAAAACTTTCATATAGACTTACCAGGTTCTTTATAATTTTGGAAGGTATTACAAACCAGGGGAAAAAGGAGAATTAATGGAGTATCTGGACCTTCTTGTTCTCCTATGAAATAGCACTCCTTTAAAACTTTTTCTTCTTTTTCCTGTGGGATAGTTCTGGGAAAAGGAATTCCTTGTTCTGAGAAATAATTTGAGGCCTTTTGCAGCGGCTGTATAGATGGGGGTGTGGGGTGGGGATAGGCATACAAAATTTTATAAGTATTTTTTTTAAAAAAAGGTGTTAAAAACTTACCATAGATCTCTCATAAGGGTTGCTTATAAGCTACATGAGGCCTAGTAGCTCCCTTTTGCAATCTCCAAAGGCTAAGAAACAAACAACCAAGATCTGAAAGACCACAAAAGATGCTGCTTGTTTCTTTTTAAAGAAGCAAAATGGATGCCTAAACCTCCACAAGGCTGAGGCATCCATTTTGCTCTTTAATCCTGTCCCCCAAATGTGAAAAAGACTCAACAGATTGGATATTTTGCTTTGTGTACTCTAGTAATGTCTCTCTGAAATAGGGTTCTTCCATTAAAAAGAAGAAAAGACAAAACCCTACTGATTTGGGGTCCTGATCCTGCCCATTTAGAGTGTAGCTGTCAACACACTGTGTACAATGTGATGTGACCTTAGAACAGAGGTGAATTGTGTATGTCTGCTTTACCAGATAGATTGAAATGTAACTGAATTCTACACCCATTATTCAGTCTATATTGAAGGCCCTCTGAAATGCCAGTAGGGTGGGAGCTATCCAGATCTCAGGGAGAACCTCATTCTACAGGGCAGGCACTGCAACAGAGAAGGTGTGCTTCCAGGGTCCCAATAGATGGCACTGTTTAATCGAAGGAATCCAGAGCATGCCAACCCTGTTGAATCAAATGAGCTAGGCAGATATTATGGGAGATAGGTGGTCTCTCAAGTAACCAGGCCCAATGCCATGTAGGGATTTATAGGTAATGATCAGCACCTTGAAGCAAACTGACAACCAGTTTAGCTCGTGAAGCTGGACATACTGAGGCATGCTGTTGCATTCTGAACCAGTTGAGGTTTCTGAGTGGTCTTCAAGCACAGCCCCATGTAAAGCACATTGCAAGCTGTGAGGTGACCAAGTATGAGTGACTGAAGGGTCATCCGATCTAGGAAAGGGCTAGACGTGTTAAGTGGTTCAGTTATTGGACTAGGGCTAGTTCAAATCCACCTTCAGCCATGGAAACCCATGAGACAACTTTGGGCCAGTCCCTCTCTTCAGACCAGCCTGCCTCATAGGGTTGTTATGGGGATGAAGAGATATCCCTGGGTAAGCACTCCTGGAGAACAGGTGGAATATCAGTAGAATAATTGTGGGGAAAGATGTCCTGATTTAACAGTCAATCACCTTACTGGGCCAGTTAGGATTCTTTGGATATCAACTTCGTTCAACCTTTCTTGAATCCCAGAATTTTATTTGTGTGTTGTGTAAACCAGAGGACAAAAGAGGGCACTAGAAGTCAAGAAACTTAAGAGAGCTTAATCTGTGATCCTATAACTTTAGTAACAGAGGTAAAACTTCGTATTCATTAAAGAAAAGATGGGAAGTAAAGGTTTCTGTAGGTTAGTTGACCCAATTGATACTGTTCTTGCCAACAGGGCTAAGAGGTTTTTGTTTTTGTTTTAATCAGTTTCTCCCTTTCATGGCTCTCAAAACATCATTTGGCAGAAGAGGAAGCAGCTGCAAGAATAAGATTCCTGTAGAAGGGAAAACTGAGTTCTGACAGTCAACTTCCTCTTTGCATCAGAAAGCAACAGGAGTTATAAGCACAAACATTGCTGGGAATGGAGTGTCATGTTTCTCACCCGTAACTGTGATCCTGAGCTATAATTTAAGTGTATGATGACATCCACTTTTCTTTCAGGCCTCATAAGTGGAGGATAGCTGGTATCAAGGGCAAATGCATTATCCACCAAATGCAAATAATCTTCAGCTCCAATTAGCTGGTTAGGAAAACTGTCAAGATCACAGTCTAAATGAAATACATTTATGGTTAAAAGCAGGCAATAGCACCACTCTAAGAAAAGTTTAAAAAACAGACAAAAACATGTAATTGCCGCTCAGGAGAGACAGTAATGCAACTTTCCTTCCATGCAGCTGACAACTAGGTTTCTCTCTTCCAAATATCTGTTTTTCAGTAATTTGGTAAAGGAATCAGTTTCATCTATCAATCTAGCTTCTGAAAACAAGCAGCAAATTCTCCAGAACTTATTAAGATTATTACTGGAATACAAGCTCTTCAAAAGGATATTTAATTAAAAGGAAACTGTACCTTTCCAATTTGCAAATCCACTCTCTAAATACTTGTTGTGCATTGGGCAGCCTCTCAGAAAATTTGGGACCAATGACACAGCAGGTCGCCACATAATAACGTCTTGCAAAATACTGGCAAGACTTCCCGGAGGACTCTGGGCTCGAACAGGTAGCTTATATGTGTTTGAATAGCAAATAGGCTCTTCTGCAGACAAAATAATACATGTTAAATGCATGCAGGTTTTTTCATGGCCATAACTATAATAACCATTTGTTATGGGACACTTGAAATGTGTCACACTTGACTTACTTTTTCTTATTTCATCTAGACTTTGTACTAGTTCACTTTTCTCTCTTGTCTGGGTGAATTTTAAATAATCAAAGGTAATTTACACAAGGGCTTCATTGCACGAAAGAAGCTGTAAATAAATTCTACTTTATGGTTTCTTTATTCTACTGTGACCATTATGTATAACATACAATTTTTCTGGATCAAGTTGAACAGGTGTAGGCAACTTTTTGTGCCTCCAGTTTTTAAAAACACTGCTGGACCATGGGAGGGCACGATTGCAATGCAGGATCCAAATGTTGCCCCTTGTTTGGTTCTGTGTTTTTTAAAATTGAATAGGTACATTAAATTTTTTTCAGGCTTGACACATCCATTTTACTATTCTAAAAAGCAGAATACTGTACAGCCATAATTTAGCAATTTGCTGTTGAATTTCAGCAATGGGATCTTGATGAGCTATGGGGTGTGTGTGTCTGCAAAAAAGGTTCTGTTCTATACCACCTGCATCACTGAAGATATGCAATGCAGGTACAGGATTTATTGAATCGTTCCTATCACTGGGACAACAAAAAAACCTGTCTGACGTATACAGTAGGTGTGAAATGAACATAGAAAGGAGCCTCATACGGAATGTGCCACCTAACCCAATATTTTTGACAACTGACACCAACTTACTTAAGTTTTTTCAGCTGTACTGAAGGCCTCAGGGGTTGAAGTGGGGACCTTCTCCAAGTAAAACATTTGTTTTCCTACTCAGTTACAGCCCCTTGTAATATATTTTATAAAAAGAAACTGTAGAGAACAGGCACTGCTACTACTTTGAGAACAGGAGCACAGCATCATAGAACAGTGACTTCCCGGGACCCCTCCAAACAGATAACCTGATTGGTGGTCTTGAAAGCCAATCAAAAGGCCAACAGAACTGGATCAAACCTTGCCTTCTCTGTTTCCCACCAAAAGTCAAGGCAGTTTCAGTCCTGATACCAGACTAATACGGATTTCTTGCAATTATTATTATTAATTCTGGGTATTTTGTAGCAGTATCTTAAACTGTAAAATGTCTACCTCATAAAAATACGAGAAGGGTATAAATATCCTCCGTCCATATAACTGAACAAAGCAGGAGAAGATGTAAAAGCAACTTACCAAAATCAGTTATTCTGTCTCGTGTCCAGATCTGCCAAAAATCTTCTGAATTAGTAGCCAGAAACCAGCCATCCATAATGTTCACAGAAAACACACTACTCCAGATCCCTGCAAGAGGGAAGTGATATCAGCAAAAGTGGAGTTAATTAATAAAATGGGAGTCAAACTGGGGTCATAAACTATCAGGCTCTCACTCCTCACCTAAACATGTCAGCAATAAACTATCAGACTTGCGTTCCTCCGTAGAACATGTCAACAAGCTCTGTGATTAAGCATGCAGAGTGTTTAAAACAGGAAAAGACAGATATAAAACCAGACAAGACTTAAAACAACAAATGTTCCAAGGCTACCAGGTGTCCGAGATGCAGAAAACCACAAGTTGTCATGGACACCGTCACACCTATGGGTTGAAAATGTGTAATGTTATTATGGGATGTTAATTATTAAGTGCGCATGCTCAACTATGTAACCAATCATGTAATCTTTGATAATGATGCTGTTTTTCAAAAGATATAAAAGATTCATATTTTCTATTTTCAGGGCTCTCTTCTTGGGAAGGAGTCCTCAGTTACTAAGGTGCCTTAATAAATGAGTAACTGAGTTTCTTGAGTCCAGACTTTCATTGGGTTAAAGGACTGGGCTGAAACCACAATTTGTGGACAACAGAAGATAGGAGTGTTTTTGTGAGTTCCTAGAAACAATTTGGGTGAAGTGATTCTTTTCCTTTTCTGCTTTATTGCTTCATCTAATCCCCCCCTCCCCAAATACATATCTGAAAAGCATAATATAATTGTTGTTATATTTTATATTAGTGAATAATTTTGGCCATGCTTATGTATACTACCCTGTTGTTCTAAGGATTAATAGCCCAGAATGTTTTCAAATCATTTTGAAATTCAAATTTGAATGTGTTCAAATCACATTTCAGCTGTGAACTGGGCCTTAGGAAGGCTTTTACTTCCTGGAATACTGTATATTCAGTAAATGACTCCTTGAATTTGATGGGCAGTATTTTTGCTTATACACATACTACCCCCTGCTAGTAAATCAGAACAGATCAGATAATATGGTTTGTAACCATCATTTACAAATGGTGCCTAGCTAATTTTTGGGAGATTTCATTGCTTTTTCATGAGAAATGAAAACTATTTTCAATTACAATGTATTTTTGCTGCAACCAAGGATACAGGATGGTGCTTATTCCAAACACCCAAAACACTGAAGACACAGCAGAATGGATAAATGTAGCATAATGCAATTGAAATGTGCTTAACAATGGATGGATTCTATTTAAAGCCTTTGAGCACTGTATATCTTAAAGTACCACAAAATTAAGGAAATATAATGCTGCTGTTACAGATATTATGTGCACAATGTATTGTTTACAAATCAGAAAATCATGCATATAGCCTGTTATTTGGAGGCTATGTGCATTCCTAATATCCTTGTACCTTTGAATTTTGGGATTAATGTTACTATATTGTTAATTTCAATATGAGACTAGTGCATCTGTACTTTAATTAGCCATTCAGTTACCTTCTAAAAAGCAGAGCCGTGATTCTGGGATTTCCGTCATTAAACGACCCATGAAGAATTTGCTACCAAAATGCTCAGCACGAATGTAGGCACCATATTTTTGGAATCCAACTTCATATGGTGTGAATTCCAACCATTCTAAAAAGGAAGACATAAGAGAATAATATCCCAACAATGATTTGACCTCATATTAACCTCATATGAGGTTAAATGTTTTAATTATTTATTTATTCAATCAATTTATATAGCTGTCCATCATGATGTAATTCTGTAACTGTATTCAATATATAAATTTAATAATAGTTATCTCTAACAAATGCATTACATCAGGGAACATCTGGAAGGAGAGGAGCAACCCTAAATAGTGGTAAGGAGTAAAGTAGTAGATAATTCACCATTTTCAAGCTTTGCTAGAGCATGCTGATCAGGGCTGGAGATGTGTTCGTGGGCTGGGAGGTGCGGTCCTGGAAAAAACCCTGAAGGAACTGTGTGGTTTAACTCCATACATTTCGGTTGAAACAAACCGAGGCAAGTCAAGTAACCTAGGTCCTCTGTATGTGTGTCATAGCCATTCCTGGAACATTCTGTTTTGAGAAGCAGTCACACCAGTGGTTGGCCAATGCTCTATAGGGGTTGTCCTCCCTTACAAGTGGAACTTTTTTTTCTTTCAGGGAATTTCTGCACCATCCAAACCTGCTCCAACCAGCTGGTCTAGACTGCTTTTTAAAATGTGTAAATCTGCTTTTAAATTTATTGACTCGTGTGTGTGTGTGTGTGTGTGTGTGTGTGTGTGTGTTTTGGTGCCTACATGTCAGCATTGACTTCTGGCGACTGCCTGGGCAAGTCCCTGCAGTTTTCTGGGCAAGATTTTTTCAGAAGTGGTCTGCTGTTGCCTTCTTCCTAGGGCTGAGAGAGAGTGACTGGCCCAAGTTCTGATTATTTCTGAATCAGGTATTTGCAGCTCTCAGTTATACCCAAATGCAAGTACAAGTTACAATATAAAAATTACCTCTGAAACCTTGATTACTTAGTTTCTTTTTCACATTGAGACAAAGATATATAGGCAGAGGGTTCTGTCCATGAATTAGTGCCCGCTGCTGATCTGAAAGCTTGTGATGGTTTTCCTGTGTGTGAAAGTAACAAGAACATAGTTATTGTAGCTGCAAAAGACATTAAAAGCTCACCTAGCATTTGAAACTAACAAGGTTCTTTTCTGAACAGAAGCCCACCAAACTTACTATGTTAAATTAGAATATTTAAAACAATTTATTATTTGTTTCTTTGTGCAAAAATTGGATTAAATATACTGAAATGCAGGCACATTTAATTTAAAGTGAATATAACTTAAGGACCTGGTAGGTTTCCTGAATAGAAAAAAAAATACTAGTAAATATTTACCCTTTAAAATGTACACAGTTGTAGTTATATTATTAATATTTTCTGTTCAAACAAAACATTTTTTTTTAGAAGCTTGAAACAGCAGTTTGATAGAAGTAATTACAGCAGATTTGTAAGCCCTGTTCATGAATATTCCACATAAAGAGGTTCTACATAATCAACAGTATAAATATAATCTGTTGGTCCAACTGTTGATGAGTCAAGTTTAACATGAATTAGGCATCAATTTTTAAAAAGCAAAAATGAAAAAAAAATAGTATGATACCTCATTACGTAGCATAGCTTCAATGATCAATCCCCATAGATCTGTAAAAGATACACAATGCCCTTCTTGATGACGTTTCCACAATTCCTTTGCATAGTATTTCAGCTTTTCTGCAGCAAAACTAGCAAAGAACTTGTTTTTTTCCACATGTTTTTGCATACTCCTGAGTGGTCTTTCTAAATCATTTTGGGACCAGTTGGGATCCTCATACAAGTGTGACATCGTCCTGGAAAGAAACATAGGCAAAGTTTAGGATCTGAAAAGAAGTAACAAGCCTATCAAATGTATCAAACTCAGAGGGTTGGATCTTCAATGTCATCTGATCCACCCTCTTGGTCAGTGCATCCACTAGAGCAGCAGTTCTCAAACATTTTGGTCTCAGGATCCCTTTGCATTCTTAAAAATGATTCAAGACTCCAAAAAACTTTGGTTTATATGGGTTATATCTATTGAAATTTACTGCATTCGAAACTAAAAGTGAGAAATTTTAAAATATTTATTTGATTTTGTGGATTCCCTGAAAGGGTCTCGCAGGGGTCCCCAGACCACACTTTGAGAACCAGTGCACTAGAGCATCTTTGACAGCAAGTACTTTGCTCCATTAACCTACTCTGATTATGTCAGTTTAAAGGCCTCCAGTGAAGGAGAAATCATCATTTCATGTGGCTGCTTGTTTCTGCATGTGGCCCGACAGCTCATGCAAACAGTAATTTCTCCTGGCATGTAGCCTGAACTTAGTTCCTTGTAACCTTCCTTGCAAATTATACTGATTGTACAGTAATATGCTGTGGGTTTGTATCTCCTGATTTTAACTATGCTATAGGTTGTTTTATATTCATTCTATCTGTCTACGGAGCAGCAACTGCATTTCAATTAATAATTGCCACTGCAGTCTCTCTTATGCCAAACATGCCCAAGAAACATCTCATTATAATTACTTCCTTTTATTGTTTCAGGAACAAACCACTGGATTACATGAGGCTTACCATGTTGTGCCAGAAAGTCCAGTGAGATAGGACGCACAGTCCAAAATACCTAATTTCTGCATAGTCAGTAGGTGGGCATACATCGCTGTAAGTGCTCTGAATCCACCACCTGTTGTCATAATTGCCACCACTGGCACCTGTTTAATTGAACACAGGGAAAACACAAAGTTCGCCAGAATAGTTAATATATAATCACTTGAAATACCTAAATAATAATCATCATCACAATACTTTAAATAGAGATTCCCATACTCAGAGACCTGACATGCTTAGGGAACCTGGCAGAACCCGTATTCAAAAGCAAGCTGTCTAGGGACTCAGAGATGAAAACAACTCAGTTAATGGGAGAAGTTGGTATAGCATTTTACTGCTATGCTAATAAGCCTATAAAGTAAAGACGTAGAGCAGGGGTGCCAAATGTGTGGCTTATGGGCATCATACAGCTTGCTAGCATTCCTGCTGTGGCCTCAGTGCTTCCCCAGATGGAGTGGACTCAAACATTTCACTTAAAAAAAAATTATTATTTTTTTTGGATGTAGGAAGTTACAGAATAAAATGGCTACTGCAACTCTTTCATTCCTGCCTCTGTCCCTGATGGATCCTGCCAGCTCCCACTTTTGGATTCTAACTCTTGACATGCTGGGCAAAGCTTAGTGCTGCCCTTGAGCTAATGGAGGCTGTACATTCCTGTTTTGGAGCATCCTGTACTATGACATGCAATTTGGGCAGGAACTAGAAGAGAAGGAATGGGGTTATATGTCTCTGGTTGTCATGAGACTAATAAAGTTAGGCTGATTATGAAGTTGTATAGGATGAGAGTAGGAATATTAACACAAAAGTATATTTATTTTTATTTATTATTAAATTTCTCCCTGCCCATCTCCCCCCAATGGGGGACTCTGGGTGGCTCACACAAAACATTAAAACCATAATATGTATAAATACATAAAACATAGAAATTTAAACAAAACATTACTAAAAAAGGAGAAAGTCCAAGAAGATGATGGATTTGGGGCTGAAGACAGCAGGCCTCTATGGGGTTAGCCATCCCCACGCTTGATGTATTCCCTCCCCACCCCAGGCCAAGTAGCAGAACCAGGTCTTCAAAGCCCTCCAGAAGGCTAGGAGTGAGGGGACCAATCTCACCTCCGGAGGCAGAATATTCTAAAGAGCGGGGGCTACAGCAGAGAAGGCCCGCCTTCTGGACCCCACTAATTGGAGTTCTTTTACCAAGGGGGTCCGAAGCATGCCCTCTCTGTGTGATTGGGTGGGATGGGTTTAAGTCATGGGAAAGAGACGGTCCGTTAGGTAACCTGGTCCCATGCCATGTAGGGCTTTAAAGGTGATAACGAACGCCTTGAATTGGACCCAGAAGCAAACTGGTACCCAATGCAGCTCGCAGAGCAACGGCGTTATGTGGGCCCTTCTTGGGGCTCCCAAAATAGCCTGTGTGGCTGCATTCTGGACCAGCTGTAGCTTCCGGATACTCTTTAAGGGTAGCCCTATGTAGAGCGCATTGCAGTAGTCTATATTCTGGACTTTCAACCCAACAAGTAAGTTAGGCAGGGACATGAAGCTGTGCGTGAGAACTTCAGTGCATTTAAAGAAAACATGAAGCTTGAAAGATGTAAGCATTAAACACAATAACTTGTTTGTCTCCTAATAACTAAACTGCTCACAGAAGAATTTCCATCTATATAAAACTGAATTCTTAACCTCATCTTCCTGCAGATCATCTTCAAGCTGGAGAATCTTTTTGAAAGCAGCAGCAGTCACTTTCTTCCGTTTTTGCAGGAAAGCCTGTTCTTCTGGACAGAGATCAAACCCTAAGCGTACATCTAGATCTGATGTGCTGTAACACAAATATTTATCCTGGGTCATAACTTATGTTGGAATGGTGCATACTCCATAAATAGACTCAAGCTACACAAGCATATATACAACACTGCTCTGCAAAAGCTACAGCCCAGCCCAGATCTCTTCTTGTGCAAACTCTTACTTGTACTGCAGCATTGTGACAATGAATCATGCTGGGATTTCATGTAGAAGTAGGTAGATCTGCACTTAATCCACTAGTATTGCTCCTCAAAAATGTATACTCCCTTGCCTGATGTAATGGAGTGATACTGGACTTTGGTTACAACAGATGAAGCCAACATGTTTATGTAGCTAGATCATACTCACACCCTCAGAAGATGGAAACTCCAGTCCTATTCAATCCTAAATCCAGAAAACTAGGTTCACTAGCAAAAAGACTTCCTTCTACCTGCACACAGGTAGTATAGCACAATCTTGGCAGAGACTTATAATTCTAAACTTTAGGAACAAATTCAATAAAACTAAATACTTTTTATTAGCAAACTGCAGTGACAAACTGACAAACTGCTAATTTGGGGTCATGCTGTCAATCATAAACATATCTTTGGAAATACAAAAGAAGACTTTTTCTGATCATAATCTTGTGAGTTTGGTTTTTGAAAGGAAACCTACCTCTTTTAGATGAAGATTAAATGAAATGTTATTACAGAAAGAGTCAATAGTGGAGGTTTTCAAAAAGAAATTAATAGAATTTTTTAAAAACAAATAAGGGTACTGATTTAAGAATGGTTTGGGATACAGGTAAGGCTTTCACCCGAGGTTATTTCATACAACATAATACTAAACTTAAAAAGAAGACTCAAGAGAAAATACAGTCTATTTTGGATAAGATAAAAAGAAAAGAGGAAGAACTGCCAGAAAAGATAAGCATTTCATATCAAATCAAACTTTTACAGCAACAGTTATCTATGTTAACAGTAAAAGAAATGGAAATAAAGATGAACTATGCAAAGCAAAAGAATTTTGAACTTGCGAATAAATCAGGGGAATGTGGCTATACAAAAAACTTTTTATCAGTATTATTCTAACATGAATTGTATGTTATTTCAAAATAATTAGGTTAAGACATGGAATGAACTTTAAAAAGATATGTTAAGATGGGGGAAATTACAGTTGTCATTGTTGGGGAGAATTTCTTTGATTAAGATGAATCTTTTGCCTAGAATTATTTTTGTTTCAGACAATACCTGTTTTGACAACTGATGTACCAATTAAACAATGGCTGAAAGACATACCCACATTTGTGTGGCAGGGGAAAAAACATGAATCAAATATAAGGTGCTACAAGATGCTAAAGAAAGAGGAGGTTTGGGTTTACCTGATTTGAAATTATACTTTGCAGCTTCTTGTTTAGTTTGGATGGAAGAGTGGGTGATGCTGGGAAATAGGAGATTATTCGACTTAGAAGGACATGATTTGAGGTTTGGGTGGCATGGCTATTTATGGTATGATAAAGCTAAATTTAATGTAGATTTTAAAAATCATTTTCTCAGACGTGCTATATTGAGGATATGGAATAGATATAAATTCAGGTTGTGTCCAAAAATACCTTTGTGGGTTTCACCACAAGAAGCATATTATAGAAGAGAAATGATAACTAAACATAAATGATTAACTTATGGTGAGATATTAGAATTTTCCCAGGGAGAATTCAAAATAAAATCAAGAGAAGATTTGACATTAGAAGGATACATGTGTCAATGGTTTTTCTATGTACAATTATTAGAAAGATTTAAAGTAGATAAAAGTACTTTTGGTTTTTAATATTGTAAGACTAAATTTGAAACAGAATTATTTACAGATGATGATCATTGTTGTCAGTAAAATGTATATACTTTTATTGAAATTTGAAACAGAAGAAGAACAAGTGAAAGAATGTATGATAAAATGGGAT